TTACCTCATCTTTTGTGTATAGTTCTTCAGTTTTCTTATTATGTCCAAGAATTTGTATTGATAAAGCCACTGGATGGCGAAACGTCTACAATAAAGATAACCAGATGTTGCACAGATGACAGCAAGGAAATGAGTGAGCTACTCAAGTCCCAATATGACTCAGTTTTTAGCAAGCCGCTAACCAGACTGAGAGTCGAAGATCAAAATGAATTTTTTATGAGAGAGCCACAAAATTTGATTAACACAAGCCTATCCGATGTTATCCTGACGCCAAATGACTTCGAACAGGCGATAAATGACATGCCCATGCACTCTGCCCCAGGGCCAGACTCATGGAACTCTGTGTTCATCAAGAACTGCAAGAAGCCCCTATCACGAGCCTTTTCCATCCTATGGAGAGGGAGCATGGACACGGGGGTCGTCCCTCAGTTACTAAAAACAACAGACATAGCCCCACTCCACAAAGGGGGCAGTAAAGCAACAGCAAAGAACTACAGACCAATAGCACTAACATCCCATATCATAAAAATCTTTGAAAGGGTCCTAAGAAGCAAGATCACCACCCATCTAGAAACCCATCAGTTACACAACCCAGGGCAACATGGGGTTTAGAACAGGTCGCTCCTGTCTGTCTCAACTACTGGATCACTACGACAAGGTCCTAAATGCACTAGAAGACAAAAAGAATGCAGATGTAATATATACAGACTTTGCAAAAGCCTTCGACAAGTGTGACCATGGCGTAATAGCGCACAAAATGCGCGCTAAAGGAATAACAGGAAAAGTCGGTCGATGGATCTATAATTTCCTCACTAACAGAACACAGAGAGTAGTCGTCAACAGAGTAAAGTCCGAGGCAGCTACGGTGAAAAGCTCTGTTCCACAAGGCACAGTACTAGCTCCCATCTTGTTCCTCATCCTCATATCCGACATAGACAAGGATGTCAGCCACAGCACCGTGTCTTCCTTTGCAGATGACACCCGAATCTGCATGACAGTGTCTTCCATTGCAGACACTGCAAGGCTCCAGGCGGACATCAACCAAATCTTTCAGTGGGCTGCAGAAAACAATATGAAGTTCAACGATGAGAAATTTCAATTACTCAGATATGGTAAACATGAGGAAATTAAATCTTCATCAGAGTACAAAACAAATTCTGGCCACAAAATAGAGCGAAACACCAACGTCAAAGACCTGGGAGTGATTATGTCGGAGGATCTCACCTTCAAGGACCATAACATTGTATCAATCGCATCTGCTAGAAAAATGACAGGATGGATAATGAGAACCTTCAAAACTAGGGAGGCCAAGCCCATGATGACACTCTTCAGGTCACTTGTTCTATCTAGGCTGGAATATTGCTGCACTCTAACAGCACCTTTCAAGGCAGGTGAAATTGCCGACCTAGAAAATGTACAGAGAACTTTCACGGCGCGCATAACGGAGATAAAACACCTCAATTACTGGGAGCGCTTGAGGTTTCTAAACCTGTATTCCCTGGAACGCAGGAGGAGAGATACATGATTATATACACCTGGAAAATCCTAGAGGGACTAGTACCGAACTTGCACACGAAAATCATCCACTACGAAAGCAAAAGACTTGGCAGACGATGCACCATCCCCCCAATGAAAAGCAGGGGTGTCACTAGCACGTTAAGAGACCATACAATAAGTGTCAGGGGCCCGAGACTGTTCAACTGCCTCCCAGCACACATAAGGGGGATTACCAACAGACCCCTGGCAGTCTTCAAGCTGGCACTGGACAAGCACCTAAAGTCAGTTCCTGATCAGCCGGGCTGTGGCTCGTACGTTGGTTTGCGTGCAGCCAGCAGCAACAGCCTGGTTGATCAGGCGCTGATCCACCAGGAGGCCTGGTCACAGACCGGGCCGCGGGGGCGTTGACCCCCGAAACTCTCTCCAGGTAAACTCCAGGTAATAAGAACATAAGAATGGAGGAACACTGCAGAAGGCCTACCGGCCCATGCGAGGCAAGTCCTTATCAAAACGACCTCTACCTAAAGCTACCCAAGAAATAACTCCCGTAGTGGTGACCTGTACTTAACTCAGTGGTGACCTGTACTTAACTCTGTGAAGAAGTGTCTTGTGTGCTCCCGTGGACTGAACCAAGATGCCCTCCATCGAGCAACTTTACCAGCAACTTAAGGAAGAATTGAGGGCAGCGAAGATGGAGATACGGCGATTGACCGAGGAAAACAAGAGGATTCGTAGTAGTCCTCCCGTTTCGAGTCCTCAGGTCAAGAAGGGATCGTGGTCAGTGGCTGGACAGCAGGGGACGACGAAGTTGACAATCAAGAAGACGAATGGAAAGCCAGAAACGATGAAGAAGAAAGAGACTGCTGTGGAAACTCCTGTGGAAACCTCCAACGCATTCTCGGTGCTACCCGACGAATGTGAGTCGACTACTGGGATCGTCACGACGAACGACAACAAGGAAGGTAAGAATATTGTTGTTGTTGGGGATAGCCAGGTTAGATACATGGACAGGGCATTCTGCTTGAAGGACAGGAGTAGGAGACAAAGGGTATGCTTTCCTGGGGCTGGGATGGAGGACATTGTTAGCCGGCTTGACAACATCATGAACGGTAATGGGATCAATCCTATTATTTGCCTCAGTGCTGGAGGCAATGATGTAGGCAAGCATAGAAGTGAGGATTTAGTTAGAAAGTTCAGGACAGCTATAAACATAATTAGGAAGAAGGGGGGGCACTCTGTTATATGTGGGATTTTGCCAAGAAGAGGTGTTGGTAATGAATGGTTGTCCAGAGCAATTGGTATTAATTGTTGGCTGGATAAACGCTGTAAAGATAATGCAGTGCCATTCATTGACAACTGGGACAACTTCTATGGCCGAAATGACATGTATGCCAGGGATGGGGTTCACTTATCCAGGGCAGGTGTGGGTTTTCTTGCTAACTCAGTTGAGGGGGTTGTTAGGACTTTAAACTAGGATTAGTTAGAGGTATGGGTTTAGAAATGATAAATAATGAGTATGGATATATTGACTTATGCTCTGATATGAACAAAAAGGCACAATAGCCGTGACTGGAACAATACACAATGGTCCAAGACGAACCGAAGCATCCAGGTGGCCAAGTGGCTAACGCGTCGGTCTGGAGTTTTGTGACTCTCTGATTGCGGGTTCTAACCATGTCGTCGTAATCTTCTCTCTCCTATGTGCGGGTTTTTTGTGTAGTACGGTGATAGTTTATGGTTTATATCTCAACAGTTTTGTACCATGTATAATGTTGAACCTAAAAAAAAATCCTAGCTAGGAATACCAAGCTCATTCTTCGTATTAAACACCTTCGTAGTTTTAAACTAGTAGAGGAGTCTCAGTAGTAGTAACCAGTTACCAGTAACCAGTGTACCAGTAGATGACTCACTACCAACCGTCTCTGCCTGAGTCACTGTCTGTATTCATATTGTGCTGACCACAGCAGTATTCAAAGACCCCCTCACATATGGGTACTGTGGGCGGCCAGTCAGTGTTACGAGAGTTAGCAAGGAGACAAGGTTACGGCTGTTTGGGCGCTCCCCACATTATCCATAATTATATATATACGTACTACCAGCCTACGTGAGTATTACTTTACCCTATCCACGTGTTCAAACTCCCACATAATAGGAGTTCTTAAGCTAACTTTAACACGGAAACACCATTCCCAAACAAGGATGTAATATAATACGAGACTTTGTCCAACATCTTCTCATAGTTAATGATAATTATGACACGTGTGCAACAGTTGGATATCTTTATTGTTGAAACATTTCGCCTACACAGTCGGCTTCTTCAGTCGAGTGCAGAAAGTAGGCAGGAGCAGTAGAGATGTGAAGACGATGTAATCAGTCCATCACCCTTGAAGTCGTAGATTTGAGGTTGTCAGTCCCTCAGCCTGGAGAAGAGTTCTGTTCCATAGTCTGGAACAGTTAATGGTCCAAAACGGACCGAAACATCGTCACAAGTTTCAGTCTCCTAGATACGAGTTATCTGTTTATATCTGAAAGATTCACCAACATATCTCTAAGATTTAACGTTACTGATGAACTCAATCTGAAAATAAAGTGGCAGAACATGTCGCTTGCTTGTAAATACTTAAATCATACTCAAGGAGTGGTGGAGGCTCGATCCTCCGTCTACAAATCAGTGAATAATACAAACAGGTGAATTGGCTGAGATAGCCGAATTACCCAGACGGGTTCAGCACTTCGGGTATAACTTAATTTGAGCGGATTAATCGTGAGGTGAATTATCCTCCCATTGTGTGTCTGTGTTTAGCAGACGGCGTACATGCGCACCTCGCGTCCAATGCGTACATATGCACCTGTCAAATGTGGCTCCGAATTTACCTTACTGATGTATGGTTGCTATGGTGATTCTGAAGCATCGTTGTTATGGTGATGAAGGACGGTTGTTATGGAGATGCTGAAACGTGGTCACTGTTGCTATGTTGATGTTGCTATGCGTCTGAGGGGAAGGGAAACGTCACGCCTGTTGCTATGCGTCTGTTGCCAGGCTCGAGAGGGGAAACAGCTGCTGTGTCTCCCCTCAACGCTGTATTGATCCCTCTAACAACAACAGTCTCTGCTCATGCAAGGTCGTTGATGACCTAGCAACTACTAGGGGTCACACTGTGTCGTTGATGACCTAGCAACTACTAGGGGTCACACTGTGTCGTTGATGGCCTAGCAACTTCTAGGAGCCACACTGTGTCGTGGATGACCTAGCAACCGCTAAGGATCTCACTGAGTCGTTCATGACCAAGCTACGAGGTAAAGCTATGCGAGGTCGTGCGGGGTCGTGCGGGGTCGTGCGGGGTCAAGAGAGTAATGGAAACCAACTTAATACACGGGGAGCCCCTCAGGGGAGGTTCCTTGGTGCTGATGAGGGGCTCTTGATCTAGGGAATTGGATCTGTGCTTCAATTCCCTGAATGCCTTCCATCCACCCCCCCCCCTACAGGCGCTCCCCTACTGGTTCAGCGCTCCCTCGTAATAATATAAATAATAATCATACACGGAGACAAAATGAAAGCAATAATGATAAAACGGAGCCCAAGAGCTATAGCTCAATCCCAAACACACACACACACTGAGGGCAGTAAACTAGGAAGTAAACACAGATGCCAGCACGTGTTTCCCTAGCAACCGCAGAGGTGAGGGGAGAGACAGGCAGAGAGAGAGAGAGAGAGAGAGAGAGAGAGAGTCAGATTGTCCTATTATTATCGTCTCTCATCACTTAGTACTGATGCTTCAGTTTTGAATGTCTGAAGAATCTCTCTCTCTCTCTCTCTCTCTCTCTCTCTCTCTCTCTCTCTCTCTCAAGAGAGTTGTTTTCACTTGTGCAACTGATATCTGTGGACGTCATTTTATTGTTCATGTAAATATGGTGTTGTTAACTCGAGAAAAATAACCCCTGTGGATCTATCTCTTCCCCGTGTATAGAATAACAACTTTCTATTCCCGTTTCTGAAATTGGACTTTTCAGATTATTTTCCGTGTCTTGGTTAATTATTAGGGTTTATGAAGACACGTAATACGGAAAAACCTCATGTTTGGTCAACGTTTCGCTCTGTGTAAAGCTTTACTAAGAGCGAAACGTTGGAAATGTTTCCTTACGTCTGTTGCCCCTGTTCACCTAGCAGCAAGTAGGTACGTGGGTGTTAGTCGACTGCTGTGTGTCGCATCCTGGGGAAAAGGGCTAAAAGGCCCCCAACATAAATAAGCCTCGCTGGCTTTCCTTGGGTTATCCTGGGTTAGTGTGAGGGGTGGTAGGGAGGGGAAAAGGGAGGGAGGTTGAAAAACACGCAAGTATTGTTCTTAAGCCTTTTTTTCCAGACATTAAGACATTCCTGGCAGTTTTTAAGACGCTAATTGACAGGGCCAGAGTGAGCGTAGATAGCGCCATCTGTTGGGCATGTTTGTAGTAACAGGTGTCCACCGTAGTTGCAGGTCTCACTTCCTCTTAGTATTACCTCGAATGAGTGTTTGTTTTGAGTGAGGGTTGGTGGCCATTTCACGCACATCGTCTCCTAGCATTATCAGGTAATTTTTCGGGGAGCTCTCTCTTTCTGGTTTTTGATTGATTTTGTCTTTAGTTTAACATGTTCGTGTTTCAAGGCTGACATTACTTCGTTTAAAGTAGAGGTTTTTAAGTAAATGTGGCCTTTTGCACATATCGCCTAAGTGACATAAGTACTATGTTGTTTGGTGATCTGGTAACATGTGTTTCTCAAAAACTACAGCTGAATTTATTAGGCAAATTACAATAAGACGTCAGCAAAGCCAAAACTTGATGTCCAAAAAAAATATTCACTGCCCCCCCCCCCAGTAGCTGTGTTGTGGTCTACAACAGAGGAAACTTGTGCAGTGGAGCTAATGAGGGACTTGACACATTCACAGTGGAGTGGTCGCTGTATGACCCGGTTTGGTTTAGCGCTTAGTTTTGATTATAACAATAATCTGTGGAGTGATACGTCTCCTGAAGATTGAGAAAACAACTACCTCGTCTCTTCCAGTGCTGGGGACTCTGTTTACATCTGCTGGACTGAGCTGCCATCGCCATGTTGTATATAAGATTAACGAATCCTTAGGATTTTGACACTATGGTGAGCCACCATCCCATGAAGACTATCACAGACAGGTTAATAAATGAGAAAAACGCTAAAATAATCCTAATAATACCTTTCTCTTCTATAATTACTCACTGTCTACTGTTTTATTTTCTCTGTTGGTAGAACAATACCCAAAATGCAGTCCCTTTAGAACATGAACAACCGAAATGTTTTGGTCCCGAGAGACCTTAGACCAAATGCACATATAGTAAGAAAAACATAAGCTTAATTAGTCAGGAAGATTCCTGAGTAGAAGAAAGATTTTGCAGCATCACCTGAATCTGGTGGTGGCCTGGGCGAAGTTTGTTCGATAATCATGTGTGAGCGAGTCAGCGATACTACAATTTCCTGCTTTTTGTGTGACTGTTAATAACAAAAAGGGGGAAGTTTGCGAACAACAGTGTGGAGACTGGCTCTTGTGAAAATCATTTCCTCTTTGGTCCAGTCTATCAGAAGTCCTATTGTGTATCTGTGGACCATGCAAATGTAGGTAAGATCGTCCCTATTGCACGAATATTTATGTTCATTAAATCTAGTGGGCAAATTCCTATAGGTCTCCCCATGTGTATTTCTCATTAGTGACGGGTTGGTGTAGTTACCAGCCGTAGATGTAGATTGTCACACGCGGTTACCATCTGAATGCTGCTTACAGCCAGTTCACGTGTTGTGTTGCTGGCTACATTGTTGCTAGGGAGGACTGTATACTGTTTGGCGTTTTATTTCCTTGCTGGTTAAACAAGATGACATTCACTTTCAGTTTGCAGCTTTGTACGAAGAAAACTGGGAATTTAAGTATGGTAGGTGTTTGCAGCGTGTATGCTCATTCCTCTTCAAGAAAAATAGGACTGGAAATGTGGAAATCCGTAAATAAAAAGCCTATAGCTTCTGTTTTGTGAGTGTATCGTGATACTGAGTAGTAGTAGTAGAAGCGTATCAGGTCGTCCTTGTTTGCATACTCGTACACTTGTCGGTGTCCTGGGATCTGCAGATGTCTAGCAAGGATGCTGTCCTTTCCTCTAGGTTCAGGGTTAATTTAATGGTGGGTTCTGCTGTGTTGATCTGATCACGGAGGCTGTGTGTGTGTGTTGAAGTGCACTGAGTGTATTTTTGGTGTGTCGTCTGGATATCGTTACCATGGTATTTGCGGTTGGTTTTCCATGGGCCAGAAGACCTGCTGCATTGTTCCTCCATTCTAATGTTCTTGTTGTCCATTTAAATTCAGTCAAGCGCAAAGGATGCATCATAATTTACACCTGGAAAATTCTGGATTGAGTAGTCCCAAATCTGCACACCGAGATTACTCCTTAAGAGAATAAGTGGTTCATCAGATGATGCAAAATGCCTCCAGTGGAAAACAGTAAGTACACATACAAGAGGAATTACCAACAGATCCCTAGCTGTGTTAAAGAGGGAACTTGAGACGTTCTCAAAGTTAGTTCCTGATCAACGGGGCTGTGGTGCCTACGTTGGATTGATCAAGGTTACTCAAGGCCACCTGGGCGGTGACCCCACCGGAAATTTTAGATACATTTCGATGTATCTTCAGCCATTATCACGTTTCTTGATAAAGGACCGAAACTTCGCGTAAAGACTTCTTTACAACTGGCTTGTTTGTGAATGATTCCAGCAACTCCGGTATTGTGATGATTTTTTCATGGTTTCTCTCTGCGTGACCTTGCATGCTTCCAGTGTTATAAAATAGATTCCTGAATAAAGAATTTGTGCGTTATTACACTGCGAGCGTGCATAGTGTGCGTGTCAAAGTAGGAGAGCTCACAGAAATATTATATATATATATATATATATATATATATATATATATATATATATATATATATATATATATATATATATTATATATATAATGTAATGTTTGTGCGTGCGCGCGCATGTATCCACTTTGTAATGTGAGCATGTGCAGTACAAGGTCTTTGTTTACATAATAACAACATTGCTGCCTGACGCACGACTAATTTGCATTTTCTGCATTTCTTTAAAGGTTTGTCTAAGCCTTCAAGGATGATGCCTTGATGCTAGTGAAGGGCACTTGACTCAAGGAATTTATGCTATCTTTCCATTCCTCAGGCCCTGGATGGGCCCTACCTGCCACCTGTTTTGCTCCCCTCCCCCATCTCCTACGAATATCAAAATAGCGATAGTGTGCTTGTGCGACGTTCTGAGGAACCTAGACTGTTTACAGCCACGATTCCAGAAATGCAAGTTTTAATTTGTGTAAGTGACGTTGACTGCGCATATATAATTCTTGAAACTGGCGCTTCAGCTTGGCATGTGAGTGTTGTTCTGGGTGGTTGTCACAATTCAACTCATTCTCCAATTCATTCTCCATCTCATTCACCAGCTTTTACTCTATCCTTGTCTCCAGTCCGTTCTTAAACCTGTTCTCCACCACATTCTTCATCGCTCTCCAAATCGAGAGTGATTTTTTTTTCTGAATGGCATTTCGCTCTGCGCTATCCACCTACAAAGCGGCTATTTATTTCTAAGTTTATTTACGGCTACATGCTTTGAAAGCTTAAGCAACTTAACCTGACCTTGACATTACTTAACCTAAATTAACTTAACAAAATAACGAAAAAATACATTCGTAAAAAACTGGAAATGATGAGATATGAACGTCAAGTACTACGTCAAGAAAACTGACTTGAAATTGTGTGAGTGGAGTGTAGCTGACTGGTGAGCCATGCTTTCACGGCCTGTATGGCTCTGTTGAATGGCACCCCTCACACACACACACACACACACACACACACACACACACACACACACACACACACACACACACACACACACACACACACACCCGTTTTCTTTCATGTTTTCTTAGCCTTAGTCACAGATGGCTATTATTTACGGGGATGTGTGCATCATCTAGGTGCTGGGGCTGTCTGGTGGTTCAGAGGGAGGGTGGACCGCCTGGGTGAGGTTACCTCGCTTACATGAAAAGCTCAGAACGTAAGACCCTTTACTGCCTCGGGATGACTAGCACCATGCCAGATCTATCTGTATGAATGTGCCATAGCTGAAGCTGAGTGTTCTCATACTCCCTCTCTCCAAACTCTTCTCCATTCTTAGGTTTGACTAGTCTCTGAAATGCGTACAGTGTGTACATGTACTTACGTTCTGGTGGTGGGGATATATGTTAAACCAACACCGATTTTTTTGTGTGTATATACTTTATTCCCCATGTTTGTCATTTGACGCCGCAATAAGCTAATACATAGCACTTCCGGCTACTGCAGGTCCATTGAAGGCACTTGTGCAATTGATAGCGTGCTACGACCTGGCTATGAACTCGTGTTTACGACCAGATGGTTCGTGTGTGGTGCATGCTAACTGACTAGCAACGACCAGGTGGTTTCTAGGTAATCACACTCTGGGTAATCCCAGGCACGCAGACTTGCCTGTATGCACGATTATCAATACGAAACCACACAAGCACACGAGTGTGTGTGTGTGTGTGTGTGTGTGTGTGTGTGTGTGTGTGTGTACTCGCCTATTTGTACTCACCTATTTGTGATTGCAGGGGTCGATTCATAGCTCCAGGCCCCGCCTCTTCGCTGATTGCTACTAGGTCCTCTCTCTCCCTGCCCCATGAGCTTTATCATGCCTCGCCTTAAAACTGTGTATGGTTCACGCCTCCACTACGTCACTTTCTAGGCTATTCCACGACCTGATTGCTCTATGACTGAAGAAATACTTCCTAACATCCCTTTGATTCATCTGAGTCTTCAACTTCCAATTGTGACCTCTTGTGTCTGTGTCCCTTCTCTGGAACATCCTGTCTTTGTCCACCTTATCTATTCCGCGCAGTATTTTATATGTCGTCATCATGTCTCCCCTGACCCTCCTGTCTTCCAGTGTCGTCAGACCGATTTCCCTCACCCTTTCTTCGTAGGACAATCCCCTTAGCTCTGGGACTAGTCTTGTTGCAAACTCTTGCACTTTTTCTAATTTCTTGACGTGCTTGACTACGTGTGGATTCCAAACTGGTGCTGCATACTCTAGTATGGGCCTGACGTAAATGGTATACAGAGTCTTGAACGAATCCTTACTGAGGTATCGGAACGCTATCCGTAGGTTTGCCAGGCGCCCGTATGCTGCAGCAGTTATCTGATTGATGTGCACCTCAGGAGATATGCTCGGTGTTATACTCACCCCCAGATCTTTTTCCTTGAGTGAGGTTTGCAGTCTTTGGCCATCTAAACTATATTGTGTCTGCGGTCTTCTTTGCCCTTCCCAGTGTGTGTGTGTGTGTGTGTGTGTGTGTGTGTGTGTGTGTGTGTGTGTGGTCAATATAAACATTAAAGACTCGGCCTCCTTAGAGTTGCTCCTTCAAGGAGGAGGAGCGGTGATGTATTGACGCCGGTGAAAGACTCGTGATGCAAGGAACTGAAGCTACCCATCTCGAATCTTCCTCAGCTATCCCCCATTTCCTGGCTGTGTAACACCTACGGGTTTATAGCTTCTTTACGAATATAATAATAATAGTAATTTAATAATAATAGTCTTCATTAATTTATATTTTATTCGTTTTTCCCCGGGATTTAAATCTCCGGGAATTATATCCTCGGGAATTAAATAAACTTCCTGCTAGATCAATGGGGTTGTGATAGTTAAGTAGACCTGCTGGCCGCTAGCACGGACAGCCTGCTTGACCAGGCGGTCAACAGGGAAGCCTGGTCCAAGGTCGGATTGCCAGAACAGACAAGCCTTCGAAACCGGTCACAGGTATAGCACAGGTTAGCTTCCAGCTGTGCTCTCTTCTGTCCGTTCCCCGTCCCTCGACAATCTGTCCCCTGTCAGCCCATTCAGGTTCTGTTAAGTGTTTGCTACGTCGTTATCGTGTCTCCCCTGGTCTCTGGGACTAGTTTCCATGCAAACCTTTACACTCGCTACAGTTTATTTACACGCTTTGTCACACACGAGTCGCACGGATGTCAGGAATTATTTTTTTTCAGCATCAGTGTAATCAGGAGCTGAAATGCTCCGGACGGAGTAGTGCTAGAGCGGCACCTCATACACAGCTTTAAAAGTAGGTACGACAGGACCCACGAGGCTATTAAGAATTGCTTGGCGCTTAGTTATAATAATTATTGCCCCAGGACAATTAAGAGGCAGGGCTAGGAGCCGAACTCAAAGCCTGTAACCCCAAATAAGAGAGTACAAATGAGTACAATTAAGCGAGTACACACACTAGATTACTCCGTGTATGTATAACCTGATTACCCTTGTCAGAGTGATGGCACTCAGGAACACTAGCACTGGTGGCTCCCAGGAACATTAGCAGTGGTGGCTCCCGGGAAAACTAGCAGTGATGGCACCCAGGAACACTAGCACTGGTGGCTCCCAGGAACATTAGCAGTGGTGGCTCCCGGGAAAACTAGCAGTGATGGCACCCAGGAACACTAGTAGTGGTGGCACCCAGCACTAGTGGTGGCACCCAGCACTAGTAGGGGTGGCACCCAGCACTAGTAGTGGTGGCACATAGCACTAGTAGTGGTGGCACCCAGCACTAGTAGTGGTGGCACCCAGCACTAGTAGTGGTGGCACCCAGCACTAGTAGTGGTGGCACCCAGCACTAGTAGTGGTGGCACCCAGCACTAGTAGTGGTGGCACCCAGCACTAGTAGTGGTGGCACCCAGCACTAGTAGTGGTGGCACCCAGCACTAGTAGTGGTGGCACCCAGCACTAGTAGTGGTGGCACCCAAGAACAGCAGTGGTGGCACCCAGGAACACATGGATTACTACCATATGAGAGATTAAGGAAGCCACGAGATAACTATGAAGCTGAGAAACACCTGAAAAGCTACTAGGGAACTAGGAAGGCAGCTAGGAAGCATTTTGAAACATAGGCGACTAGGAAGCTCTTGAATAATCTACGTTTCTAGAATTCACCTGGGAGACGCCTATAATGTTAAGAGACACCTAGAAGGCTAAGAGGCACTTACGAGGCACCTAGGCGACATAGGAAGATGGGTGCCACCAGTACAGAAGGCACCTAGAGAGCTAAACGGTACATGGCATCGCCTTTAGAGTTCAGAGAAGTACCGGTTCAAGCGACACCTGGCACCCAGCAGTAGTGCCTAGCAACACAATGTTTATCATGACTCGAGTTGTTAATGACAATGGGGAGAGAGGAGAGGTGGGGAGAAGAGAGTTTGAAAGAGAAATGGGGAGAGAGGAGAGATGTGGAGAGACGTTTAGAGAAAGGGAGGTTGGGAGAAAAAAGATGGGAAGATACAAGATGAGGTGGGGGGGGGGTAGGTGAGGAGAGGTGGGGAAGATTAAGATGGGGAGAGAAGCGGTGGGGAGTAGGGAGCGGGGAGAGGTAGGAGAAGAGAAGGGAAGAGTAGATATTAATGGAAAGGAGGAAAGGTCAGTGGGGAGGATGGAAAAGTACAAAAAAAATATGGAGCTGGAGAAGAGGTGAGCGGGATGAAGGAAGCTGAGAGGGGAAGAAGTAACTGGTGGGGGGAGGGGAGGGGGAAGGAACGAGGGAGGGGAGGTTTTTCTCTCTAGCAAAATTGGATACGTCGACAGTGCATTACTGTTGCACTGTCTTTATCACTGTTGCACCGTCTTTATCACTCTTGCACCGTCTTTATCACTGTTACAGCCGTCCTTATCACTGTTACACCGTCTTTATCACTGCACCGTCTTTATCACTCTTGCACCGTCTCTATCACTGTTGCAACCGTCCTTATCACTCTTGCACTGTCTTGCTCATCTCCCTCAGCAGTGTGCTATTTACCCTGTACTATTGTTACACAGTCGGAACAAAAGCTAGGTATGTGCAAAGGAACATTTGTGAACTTTTAAAGGTAACGTTTCACCACGAGCTGCTGCTTCAGTACTTTTCCACAGTATACCCGGAGTATACCTGGAGAGGGTTTCGGATCAACGCCCCCGCGGCCAGGTCTGGTGACATCCCAGGGATTATCATACCCACAATAAAAACGAGCTATGTTTGTCCCCCCCCCCATGTCAAATTCAATTATGTGGATGGCTTTTACACTGCTGAAATCTATCAACCTGCGCAGGAGTGGGAGATGGAGGAACACTGGAGGAGTTACAGTGGAAAGAAGAGTAGCAGAGATGAAAAAGTGACGGGAGAGAGTAGTGGGAAGAGTAATGGCGAGAATCTTGGAGGAGAGGTGCGAAGTGATGGAGAGGAAGAGTGTAGAGAGAACTGTAATTAAGGAAGAAATGGTAAGGAAAAGAGTAGAGAGAGCTGTAGCAAAAGAAAGAGAGTAAAGAGGTGGTTAAGAGAACATGGGTAGGGAGTGGACGTGACTATGTAAGAGGAATAGGGAGTGACGGATAGAAGTGGGTTAGGGAGGAAGTGTAGTGGGGTATAGAGGAAGATGGAAAAGGAGAAGGGGAAAGAGGGGGGATGACACCCTGAGAGATGGGGAGGGAACGCGGTAAAGGGATGAATAGTGAATGAAGGGATAGAGGGGAGGAGAGACACTGGGGAGAGTGACTGGGCCTAGAGGGGAGAGAGGCAGTGTGCAGATGCTGAATTGACAATATGATTTGAAACTGACCGATGACACTCGTCCGTCGTTGCTATCTCAACACACAGCTCTCATTTCTTCTGTTCGGCGTTGCTATCTCAACAACACACCGCTCTCATTCCTTCCGTTCGTCGTTGCTATCTCAACACACAGCTCTCATTCCTTCTGTTCGGCGTTGCTATCTCAACACACAGCTCTCATTCCTTCTGTTCGGCGTTGCTATCTCAACAACACAGCTCTCATTCCTTCCGTTCGTCGTTTCTATCTCAACAACACACAGCTCTCATTCCTTCCGTTCGTCGTTGCTATCTCAACAACACACAGCTCTCATCTCCTTCATTCGTAGTTACTAATCACAATACACAACTCTTATCTCTTCCTCATCGTTGCTGTGTCAGGTAAGAGATGGTATCAGATACCGACAAAGGGTACAATAAGACACATGTGTAGTACTAGGATATTTACTGACATGTTTCGCTCGGTGGAGGAGTTTTTAATCTAATTAAAAAGCTCCCCCCAACCCTGAGCGAAACTTCCCACTCAAAAAAAAAAAATCTTAGTTGAACACGTGTCTTACATCACAGTTGCTATCTCAACAACACACAACTCTCCTCGCTTCCCTTTCCGAGTTCCAAAATGTTTAAAAACTGGCTCCATTGTCAAGCCTCTGAGCTGCAGGGTCACTTATTAAAAGGTTTTCTCTGCTGGAGATTCCGTTAGTGACCGTTAATTTCAGTTAGAAACCCGTTAGGATTTCCGTTACGGACCGATGCGAGTCCAGCGCTTGTCTAGAAATGTGATTCTCTTTCCGTATTTTGTTCTTCGTTTTTCCATCTGCTTTCGGTTGATTTTGAATGACTCGATTCTGTCAATTATTGATGATTCCATTACATTTTCTAAGCCACAGGAAATTCTGATGAAAAGGGGGGGGAAAATCTCTCCTTTATTTAGGTTAAATAGTTGGGTTGGCACCGAGGGCACTCACTGGCATCACCGTAAAGTGACTCACCATCGGGAAAGGCGGAGAGCGGGGGGGGGGGGGGGTAAGGGGCAAGCAAAAGAGAAAGTCTCCATATTGTCGGGGAATGAATATCTTCATGAATGAGTAAGCACCAGTCTAACATAGGCCAGTAGGCCTATTAAGTTCCTCTATTCTTGTATTTCATCTCATCATGCTTCCTATATAGGCTCATCCTCCCCCTTCAGGCTGTATGACCCTTACGACTTTAAAGCTTAATTTGATTATTATTGCAGTAATAATATTTATTATTTATTTACATTTTTATTCCTCTCCAGGTTTATCTGTTTGTGGGTGAAAGGAGATAAACTCTTTATTTGTCACGTTTCGGTATTGGGACCTTGGTCATCACGTGGACGAAACGTCTCCAGTACAGAATCGCATTATACTGCATCTATCTCCCTTTTCCCCAGGTATGATGCACGCATTATTGAGATAATAGAAGGCATATTTCTGTTCATTAAGAGCAAGACAGAGAGCAGGATATACGATGGTGTGAGTATACTCCCCGTATAGTATACTAGCCTCCACAAGCAGTATATATAGTATCGTAACCACGAACGAGTGGTATTTAATCAATAACAACACTGTATATACTGCTTGTGGAGGGGAGTAGAATGAAATTAGCTCTGAGGCACCCATACCATTGTATGTCCTCAGATCACGGTACAACACCTAGCTCTGCTGGGTGCGTGGTTCTTATATGATTGTATGGTCCAGTGGGTTAGAGCGTTGTGAATTTTCGCTCACCATGAGGCGGGCTAAAACAACACGGGTTCGATCCCCCGGCTAGTAGCAATGTTGTTATTGACATAGTGTGTGTGTGTGTGTGTGTGTGTGTGTGTGTGTGTTCAGAATCTACTTAAATGATACTGAAAAGGAAATATCTATGCGAGGACGTAAAATTAGTATTAGAACATTTATTAATGAGATATTTCGCTTGCCAGGACCTTCTTCAGTCCAATACAGAGAAATGAAGAAGGAAATATATATTAAATACATGATTAGGTGTTTCATGTGGAGGCTATTGGGTTACCTGGAGGTTATTCCGGGGATCAACGCCCCCGCGGCCCGGTCCATGACCAGGCCTGTGTCCGGTTTGGGAAGGATGAACCTAGCGAGCATATACCTCCCACGGATAGTTTTTGTAGTATCCACTACATGGTAGGTACTGATGCTAGAGCCAGGTTCAGTGCTGTGCGTTTTTCTTTGCAACTAAATTCTTGAATGTGATAAATGTGATGTTGGTTACGATGGTTTGACTCTTATCAAGAAGGTTGGAGAGGCTGTCTGAATCCTGGCTAACTGAGACACTATGAATCTGTCTCTTTAATGTTTTAATACCGCGTCTTACATATTTGTTCATACAACTTTTACAACCCAAATGTCTGATACAACAGTGCGATGGACCTTTTTACACAGAAAATATCTCGATTCTCTCCTCAGAGCACACATCTTCATGTGACAAGATTTTCTGCCCATAATACACCTCGACCTTCTAGGCTGCATGGAGGAACTTTCAGCTCATGCCAAGGATTATTTTCACATTGCCCACGTCAGTAATATTCTTGTCCCTATATTCAGGCAACACCATTTGCAACTACCCTCAGCAAAATCACCACTGCTAATGTTCAACGAAAACCGAGTCAAATACGACTCTAAACGCTATGTGCACAACACCTGTAGATGGAGCGAAGTTAGACGGCCCAATACCAGTAACACTATGTATACGTGCCCTTTTCTACCATGTAACTGAAGCACTGAACCTTGCGCTCAACTTCACCAAAGGGGGACAACAAAAACAAAAATAAAACTCAACTGTATTAACAAGAACTGCCGTAATGTGGATAGTGATTTCGTTGAAAAAAAAAGAAGTTTAAATCGAGCTGCAATCACCACCACTGTTATTGAACCTTCTCGCCTGATACTCCCACACAGTCACTTGACCCTCTTGAAAACTTGGCCAGGGACGAATCTGTCACTGTCATCATCACTGATAAGGGAGGTGTTGAATTTCAAAAAGTTGTCAGCAGTGCCTAAACCTGACAAAAAATTTGGTGGGGCTTATCGAGTCATTGAACATATACACATTCCTGGGAATAAGTACAAAGTTGGTGATCTAGCTACTGGTGAGCAGAGTCTCATCCACATCAGGAAAAAAACTGTGCCAGTAATGAGGTCGAACAGTTGGACACTTACTACACAAGCCTCACAGAGGTAACACACAGGCATTACAAAGGTAGGCAACATTACTAATAAAGGTAGAGCATTGTCAAAATGACTGATTTTCTCAGCATTGTGACATTTGTTAAAGAAAACAGTTTCATTAGGAGTTTCTCCTTCAGTACAAATACTGAGGAAAGAAAAAATGATTTATTCGGAACTGGCGATGATTTACGATTTTTCGGACTATTTCCTGTTACCACTAACATTAAAATATTTTGACTAAAAATCGATTATTTTAGAGTCAAAGATTTTAGCCATAAGATTTTATTATACTTTTCATAAATGGGTTGTAGTAAGTTGGTATCACGTAAGGGTAATAATGGTTGAGTTTGGAAACACCGAGGTTTCCTAATTTTTGTGGGACTGTGTCGGTGGAGGCAATAGTAGAGTACAGGATGGGTGTGGGAGTGTTCTGGAATTTACCTGGAGTCGTTTCCGGAGGTCAGCGCCCCCGCGGACTGGTCCCAGACCAGGCCTCCTGGTTGCTGGCTTTAATCAGTCAAGCTGTTAAGTGGCCGTCGCCGGCTTCCCCAACGTATGCACCACAACCCGGCTGATCAGGAACTGTTTTAAGGAATCTGTTGAATTCCCTTTTGAAGACAGCTAGGAGTCTGTTGGTAGTCTCCATTATGTATGACGGGAAGGAGTCGAAGTTGTGGTCCCATAACACTATTGAGTTCTTCCCCAGTGTACTCATCGCTCCCCTGCTTTTCAGTGGAGATATCCTACACCGTTTGTCAAGCCTGTGTTTGTATATAGTTATTTTGATATGCAGGTTTGTTACCAATCCCTCCAGTACCTTCCAGGTGTAGATTGTTTCATGGACATCAGAACTGCGATGCAGTTTTACAGATATTCATTTAATACTCAACAATCACGTGTCCAACAATACAATTTTTTTTTCATTTCTTTGCCACTATAATTTATTATATTACGCAAAAATATTATTTTACTGTGTTAAGTAGAAATAAAAATCTCAATTTTACAAATGTATATACGCGAGTTTGGCAGCTGGTTTAAATTGCAAAATACAACCCGGAAAACTACACGCTCGGTGAATGTATCAATTTCTTAAGCTAAGCGAATGATCCCTCTACTAACTCACCAATTGCTTGCCCACGTGCAAGCCGAGTTGTAATTAACCTTGAATATTTATGCCATTACAAGGGTCAGGTTTTCCTGGATCATTACCATTTCCCTAGAAATCCACCAGCCTCTTCTCTGAGTGTAAACGAACGAGAAGGGTTTGATTAGGACCTGCCTACCATAGGTCACTAGGCCTGCTGAATTGCTCCTCTGTTAAGTTGTATGATTTTATACTTGCCCACTGTGATTTATCGGATGCGCCATGTTTGGGTTAGCAGCCTGATTCTGTTTGCTGCGACAAAATAACGAGTGGTAATGGATTTATTTTCCTCAGTATGGGCCAGTAGGCCTACTAAAGTGTTCTTCAATTCTCATATTCTAAAAATTCTTAGAAGAGGAAAGTAACATCATCCACCAGAATGTCTTGCAACTCCATTTCCCTCCTGCTTAATCCACGATTCATAACGCTTCCCTAGACTGACAAATCCCTGGTCTGATTTGTAGTCCCAACGCGTTTACTGAGAAAAGGCTAAATGACCACTAGCACTCTAAAAGTTGAAGATTGAGACACTTATGCAACATATGGGAATCTTTATTGAAGAAACGCTTAGACACACAGTGGCTTCATTAGTCCAGTACAAAGCAGAAAGGTGTAAGGAGATTCTCGTATGTTGCACATGTGTCTCAATCTTCAATTTGTCGGTTTTCAAAACCATTTATCACCCTAGGAGTTGTTTAGCAACTACTTTGCCAAGCAACTGTGTAACATGACCTACAACCACTCGTGGGCCACGCTCACCTGTGGCGTCACCTTCAGCTGCTTCATCTCAGTTCTACTCTAGTATACAAGATTTGGCTGCATGCATGATGTATGCTCGAGGGACTAACCACCACCTTGTAGGTATTATGTAATATCAGTGATTTATGTTATACGCAATACCATTCGAAAGTGGCAACAAAGTCTTCAGGGAGAAATGGCAGAGAGATCTAGATCTGTGTGTTAATGCTTTCAATAAAAACTCTACCATACACCTTAACAGGTATACTCAACAGACTTATTTCCTTAGAATTTTTACACCTTTTTGTTCCCTTTGCTTTTATACAAGGGAACTATACATGCTCTCTGCCAATCCCTAATTACCTTCCCATCTTCCCTACATGTATTAAATAAAAGCACCAACCCTTCTAAAACTATATCTCCACCTGTTTTTAATATTTCTGTCTTGATCCCATCAATCCCAACTGTTTTACTCCCTTTTCATTCTACCCACTGCCTCATGCACCTCCCACACTCACATCTAGCTCTTTCTCACTCCTACAAGATGTTATACCTCATACTTTCAACGTGATGGCTGGTTACCGGGGGTTTGAAGCCTAGCGACTATACAGGGTTATTATATAAAAGTTCCATGACCAACGTGTCCATCCCTAGTCAGGGATATTTTAATTCCTAAAATAGCAATTAAGGTGAAACTCTGTGTATATAGATGCGCACTTCTCAGTTCAGACACTGGGTGATATACACCTCTGAGTAGAGACACTGGGTGATATAATAAAAAGAACTAAACCTACACTGGGTGATATACACCTCAAATTACTAAGGTGTATGCTAGGGTAGGACGGTACCAAGGTGTGTGCTAGGGTAAGACGGTACCAAGGTGTGTGCTAGGGTAGGACAGTACCAAGGTGTGTGCTAGGGTAGGACAGTACCAAGGTGTGTGCTAGGGTAGGACGGTACCAAGGTGTGTGCTAGAGTAAGACGGTACCAAGGTGTGTGCTAGGGTAGGACGGTACCAAGGTGTGTGCTAGGGTAGAACTGTACCAAAGGGGTATTTCTAGCAATCCAGCTGGACATTGTGTGTGACCGCGTGGAAGCCCAGAGAGACGACGCTAAGCCAAGCCACTATTCTCCAGAGTTGTTTTCACAACTTTCTGGTTACTTGCTTCGTGCCTTATTTGCTAATCTATGAGATGTTCCTGGTTTTGCAAATTAAGCCAAGCCAGTCTGTAGGGGAGAGCCTGAGCCACCCAGCCTCCTTCATTATTGTTGTGTGCATAGTTACAAGCATTCAAGCCATCCCAGCCTAGCCAGGAGTAGTAAGCCACGCAAGATCCTTGAAGTTATTGTCTCCATGTGCTGTGCCAATCTATGCTACCAGTAAAGCGCTGGTCAGTGATAATTGCCATCCTTTTGGTACAATTGTGGCTTATTAAGCCACCCAGGCTTAGTATCACATAAATACTCGGTGTGGAGTGCCAGCCAGTGTGTGTGGAACACTAACCCAGCCTACACCATCACCCGACACAAAGCCTGACGTCATTTACCACGTGTGCCGTTCATCTACCCATATATCGGGCTTATACCAATATCCTCCTGTTGACGTCGCTTCCAGACTTCAATCAAGTCCATTATAGAGACATTTGCGTGTGTTGAAACATTTTCTACATCTAAAGGAAGTGTGTGTGTGTGTGTGTACTCGCCTAGTTGTACTCACCTAGTTGAGGTTGCGGGGGTCGAGTCCGAGCTCCTGGCCCCGCCTCTTCACTGATCGCTACTAGGTCACTCTCCCTGAGCCGTGAGCTTTATCATACCTGTGTGTGTGTGTGTGTGTGTGTGTGTGTGTGTGTGTGTGTGTATTTCAGAGAGATTTGTGTCCTAGTGTAATTTTTTTTTTTACTTCTTTGTTCCATGTGACTCGTTGATCTGCAGTTATTACGTACTGCTGTGTTATCGTTCATTTCTTTTTATTTGTTAGTTATCGTTTCCCATTCTCTCCAATCTCAAGTAAATAATTTTTTCTCTTGTACACATTTATTTGTCGATTGTGTACAGTATTTTGCTCATTTCTCCGTCATTCACTCCTTGTGAACTGTTCATTTTTTTAATCTTTGTTCTTTAAGTGTTGTGCAATCTATCTTATTTTATTGTGTACAATTTTTTTCATGCGTCTTAACCTATTTTCATTGCATTTTCCTTGTGTTTTCCTGCTAATTCTGTGTTGATTCATTCACTACTATTTCTCCCGTGTACCAAATTACCATTTTTAATTCTGTGTGTACCATTTGTTCGAACTTTTGCAGACTGTCGTACCATATCTTATCTAGCAAGATCCTAGTACAAGACAATTATATTACATGTGTAGTGAGTGAACTCGTGATGTTTTCTGTGTTTCCTGCAACTTTGTAAATGTTAATTCCCAGTTCTGTATCTTGTATCATTTTTAATCATATTATTGATATTTCTTTGAACAAATTCACTCTTACTGTAATCTTTAAAGTAAAATATTACCATTGAGTAATTTGTGATGCCTAATTGAAATTAATAGTGTTCAAACCAGTTATCTCCTGGTGTTTTAATAGTCTTTCTAAGCTATATTTTCTCTGTGTACAATTTTTATTGATACATTGACTAATTCTGCAAATTATTTTAATTGTGAAATTTGTCATGCAGTGATTATTCTTCTTTTCATAATTTTTATACTGTTATTCTTGTGCTCTATTATGTTCAGTAACTGATAATCATTTCTTAAAGACTGACATGTGTCACATGTGTCTAATTTATCAACCATTCATCTACATTATAAATCATTGTAATATTTTCAATATATTTATTTGTGTATATCATTGCATAATATTTTTTTATTTTTGTGGCATCTTTACAAAAGTTGTTTTCCCAGCATATTTCCAATTGCATACAATTTATTGATCTTATTTTTGCATTGATCTACAGTTTTATCATATTTCTTTATTGAATTGAGAGTAAAGACAGCTCACTTTTGAAATTAATTCAGATTACATTAATATTTTCCCTTTCTTGAATTTTCAAAGTATTTCCTTATCTTTGCCAAGTAAATTTCAGTGAGTTTTCTCATTCAGTCTGTCTTATAGATTTTTATTTTCTAATGTATAGTTAAGCATCTTTAATTTCAATTTAAGCAAACTTCGCTTCATCGGCTTTGTGTAATTTCTCTGAAATCATATCACAACTACCCTTGAGCCATGCTAGCAATGACTTAGTGAAAACATCAGTCAGGCCAGTGTTGTACCTGTACCTAGCTGTATGTCAAGACGCCATACGTTAGCATCGCCGAGCTGTCAGTAGTGGTACTGTGTAATATACTTAGGCTTCCTCCTTGTGTGACATCACCAGTTAAACTCATGTATACACGTCAGCTAGAGGCCTCCGCCTCAGTGCATCACTAGGCTTAGACTCAAAAGGCAGGCCTGGGTTTTCTCCTCTAGACTTTCTTAATTATATGCCTCTAAGACAATCCTTACTCCAATATCTCCGTACGAACCCCCACGACGTGTGTGAGGGTAGGACAGTACCAAGGTGAATGCTATGGTAAGACTACTAAGGTGTGCTCTAGGGTAGGAACAGTACCAAGGTGTGCTGTAGGGTAGAACAGTACCAAGGTGTGCTCTAGGGTAGGACAGTGTGAAGGTGTGCTTTAGGGTAGGACAGTACCAAGGTGTGCTCTAGGGTAGGTCAGTACCAAGGTGTGCTTTAGGGTAGGACAGCACCAAGGTGTGCTCTAGGGTAGGACAGTACCAAGGTGTGCTCTAGAGTAGGACAGTATGAAGGTGTGCTCTAGGGTAGGACAGCACCAAGGTGTGCTCTAGGGTAGGACAGTACCAAGGTGTGCTCTAGGGTAGGACAGTACCAAGGTGTGCTCTAGGGGAGGACAGTACCAAGGTGTGCTCTAGGGTAGGACAGTACAAAGGTGTGCTCTAGGGTAGGACAGTACCAAGGTGTGCTCTAGGGTAGGACAGCACCAAGGTGTGCTCTAGGGTAGGACAGTACCAAGGTGTGCTCTAGGGTAGGACAGTACCAAGGTGTGCTCTAGGGGAGGACAGTACCAAGGTGTGCTCTAGGGGAGGACAGTACCAAGGTGTGCTCTAGGGTAGGACAGTACCAAGGTGTGCTCTAGGGTAGGACAGCACCAAGGTGTGCTCTAGGGTAGGACAGTACCAAGGTGTGCTCTAGGGTAGGACAGTACCAAGGTGTGCTCTAGAGTAGGACAGTATGAAGGTGTGCTCTAGGGTAGGACAGCACCAAGGTGTGCTCTAGGGTAGGACAGTACCAAGGTGTGCTCTAGGGTAGGACAGTTCCAAGGTGTGCTCTAGGGGAGGACAGTACCAAGGTGTGCTCTAGGGTAGGACAGTACAAAGGTGTGCTCTAGGGTAGGACAGTACCAAGGTGTGCTCTAGGGTAGGACAGCACCAAGGTGTGCTCTAGGGTAGGACAGTACCAAGGTGTGCTCTAGGGTAGGACAGTACCAAGGTGTGCTCTAGGGGAGGACAGTACCAAGGTGTGCTCTAGGGGAGGACAGTACCAAGGTGTGCTCTAGGGTAGGACAGTACCAAGGTGTGCTCTAGGGTAGGACAGCACCAAGGTGTGCTCTAGGGTAGGACAGTACCAAGGTGTGCTCTAGGGTAGGACAGTACCAAGGTGTGCTCTAGCGTAGGACAGCACCAAGGTGTGCTCTAGGGTAGGACAGCACCAAGGTGTGCTCTAGGGTAGGACAGTACCAAGGTGTGCTCTAGGGTACAACAATACAAAGGTGTGTGCTAGAGTAGGACTGTACCAAGCTGTGTACAGGGATAGGATTGCACCAAGGTGTGTTGTATGGTAGGGCAGTACCAAGGTGTGTGCTAGGGTAGGGCAGCACCAAGGTGTGTACTAGGTTAGGGCATTACCAAGGTGTGCGCTGGGCTAGGGCAGGACCAAGGTGTGCACTAGGGTAGGGCAGTACCAAGGTGTGTGCTAGGGTATGACAATACGAAGGTGTGCTCTAGGGACGGACAGTACCAAGGTGTGCTCTAGGGACGGAGAGTACCAAGGTGTGCTCTAGGGACGGAGAGTACCAAGGTGTGCTATAGGGTAGGACAGTACCAAGGTGTGCTATAGGGTAGGACAGTACCAAGGTGTGCTCTAGGATAGGACAGTACCAAGGTGTGTATTAGGGTAGGGAAGTACCAACGTGTGTGCTGGTGTAGGAGAGTACCATGGTGTGCTCTAGGGTTGGACAGTACCAAGGTGTGCTCTAGGGTAGGACAGTACCAAGGTGTGCTCTGAGCAATCATAGTACTAGGGGGAGAGAGCACAACTTTGTAGTACCCACAGTCAGTGGCCAGGCGTCAAACACCTTTTATTGTACAGCAATAAAGGAATGGAACAGACTACCCGCACATGTCAAAGCCAGTCATAGCATGAACCAGTTCAAGAAGAGTGCCAAAACGTGTCTGATGAATGAAGCTACAGAAAGGGAGGGGAATGATTTTCTATTTTTTAGCTAAAATACGTGTAAATTTTACCTTATTCCTAGTAATGACCCTCGTATTGTAGATAGTCTTAATGACCCTCGTCTTTTTAGCATGATAATAAGATGTTATCTTCATTGTAGAATAATAAGAAAATATAACCTTTATATTATAATAATAAGGTAAAAGGACCCCAACGGAAATAAGTCACTCTGTCTGACTTTTTTGGGTTATCCTAGGTTCTCTACACATATGCTGCTATGTATGATAATTCTATGTATCTGTATTTGTGTATACCTGAATGAATTTACTTACTTAGGACAGTACCAAGGTGTGCTCTAGGATAGGACAGTACCAAGGTGTGCTCTAGGATAGGACAGTACCAAGGTGTGTTATAGGGTAGGACATAACCAAGGTGTACTCTAGGGTAGGACAGTACCAAGGTGTGCTCTAGGGTAGGAAAGTACCGAGGTGTGTATTAGGGTAGGACAGTACCATGGTGTGTGCTAGGGTACAACAGTACCAAGATGTGGGCTAGGGTTGGACAGTGCCAAGGTGTGCGTTGGGGTAATAAGTACCAAAGTGTGCTCTAGGATAGGACAGTACCAAGGTGTGTTCTAGGGTAGGACGGTACCAAAGTGTGCTCTAGTGATAAGACAGTACCAAGATGCGTTCTAGGGTAGAACAGTACCAAAGTATGCTCTAGGGTAGGATAGTACCATGGTGTACTCATGGGTAGAACAGTACCAAGGTGTGCTTTGGGGTAGGACAGTACGAAGTTGTGCTCCGGAGAAGGACAGTACCAATGTGTGCTCTAGGGTTGGACAGTACCAATGTGTGTACTAGGATAAGGTAGTACCAAAGTGTGTGGTAGGGTAGGGCAGTACCAAGGTGTGCTCTAGGTTTGGACAGTACAACGGTGTGCTCTAGGTTTGGACAGTACCAAGGTGTGCTCTAGGTTTGGACAGTACCAAGGTATGCTCTGGGGTATGACAGTACTAAGGTGTGTGCTAGGGTAGCACAGTACCAAGATGTGCTAGGGTAGGACAGTACCAAGGTGTCCTCTAGGGTAGGTCAGTGCCAAGGTGTGCTCTAGGCTAGGATAGTACCAAGGTGTGCTCTAGGGTAGGACAGTACGAAGGTGCGTACTAGAGTAGGACTGTACCAAGGTGTGTACTGGGTTACGACAGTACCAAGGTGTGTGGTATGGTAGAGCAGTACCAAGATGTGCCCTAGGGTTGGGCAGTACCAAGGTGTGCGCTGGGGTAGGGCAGTACCAAGGTGTGCTCTAGCGTAGGACAGTACAAAGGTTTGCTCTAGGGTAGGACTCCCCTCAAGGAAGGTTCCTTGATGTTGGTGAGGGGCTCTTGATTTAGGGAATTGGATCTGTGCTCCAGTTCCCCGAATTAAGCCTGAATGCCTTCCACATCCCCCCCCAGGCGCTGTATAATCCCCCGGGTTTAGCGCTTCCCCCTTGATTATAATAATAATCTAGGGTAGGACAGTACCAAGATGTGCTCTGGAGTTGGGCAGTACTAAGGTGTGCACTAGGGTAAGGCAGTGCCAAGGTTTGTGCTAGGGTACGACAGTACCAAGGTGTGTGTTAGGGTTCGACACTACCAAGATGTGTGCTAGGGTAGGACAGTACCAAGGTATGGTCTAGGGTAAGACAGTACCAAGGTATGCTCTGGGGTAGGACAGTACCAAGGTGTGTGCTGGAGTACGATAGTACCAAGGTGTGTTCTAGGGTAGAACAGTACCAGGGTGTGCTCTACGGTAGAACAGTACGAAGGTGTGCCCTAGGGTAGGGCAGTACCAAGGTGTGTGTTAGGGTAGCACAGTACCAAGGTGTGTGCTACGGTAGGGTAGTACCAAGGTGTGTGCTAAGATAGCACAGTACCAAGGTGCGCTCTAGGGTCGGTCAGTGCCAAGGTGTGCTCTAGGCTAGGACAGTACATAGGTGTGCTCTAGGGTAGGACAGTACCAAGGTGCGTGCTAGGGTAGGAGTGTACCAAGGTGTGTGGTATGGTAGAGCAGTACCAAGGTGTGCGCTAGGGTAGGACAGTACCAAGGTGTGCGCTGGGGTAGGGCAGTACCAAGGTGTGCTCTAGGGTAGGACAGTACAAAGATGTGCTCTGGAGTTGGGCAGTACTAAGGTGTGGCAGTGCCAAGGTGCTAGGGTACGACAGTACCAAGGTGTGTGTTAGGGTTGGACACTACCAAGATGTGTGTTAGGGTAGGACAAAACCAAAGTGTGTACGGGGATAGGATAGTACAAAGGTGTGTGGAATGGTAGGGCAGTACCAAGGTGTGCTCTAGGGTAGGACAGTACCAAGGTGTGCGCTGGGGTAGGGCAGTACCAAGGTGTGCTCTAGGGTAGGACAGCCCAAAGATGTGCTCTGGAGTTGGGCAGTACTAAGGTGTGGCAGTGCCAAGGTGCTAGGGTACGACAGTACCAAGGTGTGTGCTAGGGTAGGACAGAACCAAAGTGTGTACGGGGATAGGATAGTACAAAGGTGTGTGGAATGGTAGGGCAGTACCAACTTGTGCTCTGGGGTAGGACAGTACCAAGGTGTGTGCTGGAGTACGATAGTACCAAGGTGTGCTCTAGGGTAGAACTACCAGGGTGTGCTCTACGGTAGGACAGTACGAAGGTGTGCCCTAGGGTAGGGCAGTACCAAGGTGTGTGCTACGGTAGGGTAGTACCAAGGTGTGTGCTAAGATAGCACAGTACTAAGGTGTGCTTAGGTAGGACAGTACCAAGGTGCGCTCTAGGCTAGGACAGTACATAGGTGTGCTCTAGGGTAGGACAGTACCAAGGTGCGTGCTAGGGTAGGAGTGTACCAAGGTGTGTGGTATGGTAGGGCAGTACCAAGGTGTGCTCTAGGGTAGGACAGTACAAAGATGTGCTCTGGAGTTGGGCAGTACTAAGGTGTGGCAGTGCCAAGGTGCTAGGGTACGACAGTACCAAGGTGTGTGTTAGGGTTGGACACTACCAAGATGTGTGCTAGGGTAGGACAGAACCAAAGTGTGTACGGGGATAGGATAGTACAAAGGTGTGTGGAATGGTAGGGCAGTACCAAGGTGTGCTCTAGGGTAGGACAGTACCAAGGTGTGCGCTGGGGTAGGGCAGTACCAAGGTGTGCTCTAGGGTAGGACAGCCCAAAGATGTGCTCTGGAGTTGGGCAGTACTAAGGTGCTAGGTTACGACAGTACCAAGGTGTGTGCTAGGGTAGGACAGAACCAAAGTGTGTACGGGGATAGGATAGTACAAAGGTGTGTGGAATGGTAGGGCAGTACCAAGGTGTGCTCTGGGGTAGGACAGTACCAAGGTGTGTGCTGGAGTACGATAGTACCAAGGTGTGCTTTAGGGTAGAACAGTACCAGGGTGTGCTCTGGGGTAGGGCAGTACCAACGTGTGCTCTAGGCTAAGACGGTACCAAGGTGTGTGTTAGGGTAGCACAGTACCAAAGTGTGTGCTAAGGTAGGATAGTACCAAGCTGTACTCTAGGGTAGGATAGTACCAAGGTGTGCTCTAGGGTAGGACAGTACTAAGGTGTGCTCTAGGGTAGGACAGTACCAAGGTGTGCTCTAGGGTAGGACAGTACCATGGTGTGCTCTAGGGTAGGACAATACAAAGGTGTGCTCTGGGGTATATAGTACCAAGGTGTGCTCTAGGGTAGGACAGTGCCAAAGTGTGCACGGGGATAGGATAGTACCAAGGTGTGCTCTGCGGTAGGACAGTACCAAGGTATGCCCTAGGGTAGGAGAGTACCAATGTGTGCTCTATGGTAGGGCAGTACCAAGGTGTGCGTTAGGGTAGCACAGTACCATAGTGTGCTAGAGTAGGATAGTACCAAGGTGTGCTCTGCGGTAGGACAGTACCAGGGTGTGCTCTAGGGTAGGACAGTGCCAAAGTGTATGCTAGGGTAGGACAGAACCAAAGTGTGTATGGGGATAGGATAGTACCAAGGTGTGCTCTAGGGTAGGACAGTACCATGGTGTGCTCTAGGGTAGGACAGTACAAAGGTGTGCTCTAGGGTAGGATAGTACAAAGGTGTGCTCTGGGGTATATAGTACCAAGGTGTGCTCTAGGGTAGGACAGAACCAAAGTGTGTATGGGGATAGGATAGTACCAAGGTGTGCTCTAGGGTAGGGTAGTACCAAGGTGTGCGTTAGGGTAGCACAGTACCATAGTAGGATAGTACCAAGGTATGGTCTAGGGTAGGACAGTACCAAGGTGTGCTCTGCGGTAGGACAGTACCAAGGTATGTGCTAGAGTACGATAGTACCAAGGTGTGCTCTAGGGTAGGACAGTGCCAAAGTGTATGCTAGGGTAGGACAGAACCAAAGTGTGTATGGGGATAGGATAGTACCAAGGTGTAGTGTAAGGCAGTAAGTATCAAGATGTGTGCTAGGGTAGGGGAGTACCATATTGTGCTGAGAAGACAGTGCTAATGTGTGCGCTAGAGAAGGAAAGTACCATGTGTTCTGGGGAGTCGGAATAGGGTAACTGCTTGACATAGTCTAGGTTAAATATAAAAAGGTAGACTTAATATGAGCGGGCTTTCCTTTTGTTCGCCGCTATATGACCCTTGTAGGTTCAGTGCTTCTTTTTCATTATAATCAGAGAAAGTGTTAAACCGGTAAGGGGCATACAGCGCTGCCCTTTCGTTGGCAAAGTCTGGAAACGTGCTAAACCCAGATGGGTCATACAGCACCTATGTAAAACTTGTGGTTAAAGTGGCTTGAAGCCTAGCTACTATTCAAAGGTTCATTGAGACTGCAATTAACTTGCCACCAGAGGTACGTATGTGTACACACATACGTACCTCCGTATCCATCGATACTGTGGAAATATCTACTTTTTTTTTCATATTACATTATGTAAAACTATTTTGAAACCTTGTTTAATTAAAAATAAAGTATAAAAAAAATCTTATTTATCTTGCTTCCTTTGGTAGGGTAATGAAGCGTTCACTAAGTTCGTGGGAAAGAGAAACAAAGTTTGGCAATTGCTTTTTTCTTTATTTACTTACAAAAATACGTCTTTATAGTTTCTTGTCAAACACAAAGTTATGTTGTCTAATGCCTCGCTCCCTCAGCCTCGCCTTCCTGCAAGCTTCTCACCAGGGCTGACCTGCTGCAACCCACAACACTGAACAATTACAAAATTTATAGTAACTAACATTTTTCACAAAACTTACTTTTTGAATTGTCTGATTAGGTAATCTTGTTGCTCTGATTAAAAAAAAATGAGCATATGCAAAACAAGCCATGACCATTACCGACCTGCAGATGTTGGGCAATTAGAGTAGTGTCAAGGGGAAGCTGAAGCTGGTGGAGGTCATGACGAGGCTCTACTGAAGGCGAGGCTTGCGATGGAACTCAGTGACAGAACTTACATGGATACAATTATTATTCACAATTTGTGTCACCGCCAGAGTAATCTTACCTACGGTCTGTTTTATACAAAACATTTGAGTTTTTTAATAAAATGAAAAACAGAATGCGTGAAAGTCGTCTTCCAGTAACGCAGATGAAACTTCTTTTTACAATGTACAACACATATTTTGTCTTTTCAAGAACACAGCACTACAAATCTCAACGAGTTGTCTTTTTTGGCAATTGGACTGACATTTGCCATATCTCCAAAGCTGTACAGTTGACATTTGACACAAAACGATAAAATTCTTATTGCAAAAGCCCTTAATACTTTACCTCTACCTTCACATACTGTATTTAGAAAATTCTGCTCTACTGGGCTCAAAGAATGAGCCAACCTCAGTGTCAATTAGGTTAAAAAAAAATCCTCAAGGAAAAGATTGGAAATCAACCTTCAAGACAATCCTGAAGCCGTCTCATCTCCCCAAGCTGACAGCATATGAAGCACACGCAACGTAAGAGTCAAGTCTTGGATACGAAGCTGGAAATCTAGTCTTATTCCTGTCATTTATAAAACTTAAAAATTCATGAAAAATTATAAATCGCAATTGCACTGAATGTACATTATAAATGGAAGCTAAAAATACTGTGTATGTACATATATACAATATATGAAGAACTCCAAGCAAGAACTAAACAATCATTGGTAAACTAGAATGTTTGTTTATTTTACATTAAATTGAAGCCTATCTGAGTGGTTAACACAGGCTGCAAATTTAAAACAATCATATAGCTCCTATTAGAAAAAATAACAATACTGACAGTAAATGTGTCTGGTTCTGCCAATGTTGCTAGTTTAGTTCTCGCCTGAAGCGCCACATTATATATACATACACATTGTATACATGCATATATGCATATATACAACACATTGAAATAACTGAATAGCTTCAGACGGCTATAGAACAGAGGGATATCAACGACTCGCAAAATTGTAAAAACACGATTATAAACATCTCGCAGAACGGGTGGGGGTTGAAACCCAGCCGTTGTGTGACAGGAGTATAAAGTTACAACAGGAACCTGATGATCAACTGTGTTCCAAGACTTCACAATCAATCGGGTGACAAAAGGACACAGGACTTCGCATACAAAACAAGACTTAAATATCTAAGTCAATGCCTGGGCGTCTAAGACCATCCAGGGGAAATTCCAAATACATCTTAGGACACCAAAATTGTACTAAAAAATAATAGCTCAAAATAAAAAAGCTTTTTTTTAAGTTGGAAACATGATATTACAAAAACTACCAATTCACCACGAGCTGAATTTCTCTACTGTACACAAAAATATTTCCATTTGTCTCAACAAGTGTAACATAATTAGCAATGGTTGTGGTAGCTAGTATATCCTGAAGATACACCGAAGAGCAGTAGTGCGCGCCAATCAAAGTACAACTTAAAGGAGATCATTTACAGAGCCCTACTTGGGGGAAACTGCGTAGCCTATCTGTTCCATCCATTAGCTCCTCACAAGCGGGTTTGACGTCCTGGTGAATTTCATATCATTTTGGTTCATAAAAATTTAAACTCTGTTGAAGGTAAACTAGTTTACAACAATATCACTTTAGAAAACGAAGGTATGGCCACATCTTTAAATCAAATTCTATATTCAACAAGAAAAAATTAAGAATTATGAATAAATTTTATCTAGAAATAAAAATCTTTTTAAAGTTTAACTCTGCATCTCAAAATAATTAGCAACCAAAATACGGAAAAGAAAATGTACAAAATTGGCATATATCTGCCTCTAGATGCCAAGGACCACACTCAAGGAATAAAGTTCAAAACTTTAACAAATCTGTAAATATACAAGGAAATTATTCTAGTCAACATCATAATTCTCAAGGAATTGTGAAAAAACTAATTCTTGAACTTCTCCCTTGACTGCAGGAACCGTAGGCTAGAAGGGGCACCACAACCGTAGGCTGGACGATCCACAACCGTAAGTTGGGTAACCACAACCTAACATGAATTTAGTGACATCTTTGGAATATGCTGTTCGTTGTGGGGGAGCTGACGCAGGGGTTCACATGTCCAAGCAAATAGTACTACAAACATTTACTTTTGTCAGAATTATGACTTTTTGATATACAGAACTTACACACTTGAGCAATGGCTTATGATCAATTCTGTACAAGGGGAGAACATATGTACACTTTGTACACGCTCATATTTTTTCAAGCACCAAAATAAATTAAGTCCTTTACATTTTTTACAAGGTTGGACTCGTAACACATAACCTTTGGTTTACAAGCCTGAAGCTCTTTCAGAAGATAGCCGAGACTGCATTGTTTGGCATTGCGAGTGCGGGTGGTGGGCGTGAGGGGTGGCGGGGACCACACCCACATCACCGCCCACCATGACTGCTGCTCCACCGCTGACCACCACCACCACACCTTCACTGGCCACAGTGTCAGCGTCGGGCTGGAGTCAGCGGCAGGTGGGTCAGGGGCACGATGCCCTGGGCGAGGTTACAGACAATAAATAGTTGTGTGACCCAAGCCGTACTGGGCCGGGCCGCACCATAAATACGGCCGGAGATCCTCAGTACCCCCGGCCGAGGACAACGCACCGCCAGGGTGCCAGCGAGGGAGGGGGACTGTACACAGGCACCGCCGCAATTTGCATCCCACTATGAGAAGCGGGCTTCACCAAGCTTTGGTATGAGGGATGCGATGTGGCGCCGCCCATATGCCCAGGTGGAGGGTGCCGCCCGCATCTCAGGTGAGCGGATCCACAATGCGGGCGGCATCCTGGTACTCAGGGAGGGGCGTTGAGGGCCAGCCTACAGATGAGGGTGGGTGCAAAGCTTAGAGCACCACTAGAGGGGGCCGCCATCAAAGCGACTCTTGGGACGAGGTGGAACACTTATCAAGGGAGGTTTGGTCAGGATGGCGAATCCTGGTCGGTTGAGTGTTGTTGAGCCAGGGATGCTGCAAGATGCTGTCTAGCGTTGGTCGCTCAGTGGGCCGCACCCGCAAGCACCACCGCACCAGGTGTTGACAGTCCTCGTCCACCGTCGTCCGGAACTGTACTCGCGCCGCAACGATCTGCTCATCGTGCTCGAAGGGAATGTCACCACAGACAATGTCGTAAAGAAGGATTCCCAGTGACCAGACGGTGGCTGGAACACCTTCATACTGGTTGTGTCTGATCCACTCAGGCGGTGAGTACACCCGCGTCCCGTCGAAGTCAGTGTAGCTCTTGTCTGACAGGAGGGCACCAGAACCAAAATCTATGAGCTTGAGCACCGCCCGGCCCTTGGAGTCATAAGTCACAAGCAGGTTCTCATCTTTGATGTCCCTGTGGATGACGCCCGCAGCGTGGCAGTCACGTACAATATCCACAACCTGATGGAACCAAAAGTTGCAGTCACTTACATTGTACAGTGCCTCACACACTGCAGACAGAACAATCTAATTCAAATTCTATATACCAATAACTAATTACTACAGTAAACACTTCAGTTTTAGCTACATAAATTATTACTCAGCATGGAACAAAAATAAAAGTTCTGGTATGCCTCACCTGCTTGAAGAGGGAGCGGGCCTCCGTCTCTGGTATGACCTTGCGCTCTGTGATGTAATCAAAGAGGTCCTTGCACGGCTCCGGCCGCTCAAACACCAGGAGAAAGGAGTCATCTCTCTCTATCCAGTCGAGTAGTTTGACAACGTTGGGTACGTGGGTCACCCTTAGCAACAGCGCCACCTCTCTGGGAGCACGGCGACCTCCAACCTGTTAACAATAAACATTAGTTCCGTTAATAATTTTGTAACTATTACATGCAAAGATTTAATATACAAAGTAGTATGTCTAAATATTTACATGACAAACTAAGATTTCTGTCTAAAGGCAGTAACTATGAATGTCTGCTACCCGGTGATTCCCCCACTCACACCTAGGAGACCCCCCCCCCCGCGCACCTACCTAAGTCCAGATGACTACCACCACCTAGGAGCCGTGTTGGAGAGAGGCCAGCGCCCCTCCCCACATTCCTCACAAGGACTTACCCCCACCCCCAAACATACGGTACACTAACCTGTTCCACCAGCCTCAACTACCCCGCCCCCAATCTCTTACATGAAGACTGCTTTAAGCTTACACAAGCCTTAATTAAGGCTGAAATACCGAAGGTCAACATGAATGCTGCTGTCTCACCCGTCATTACTTGCTGCCCGTACCGTGGTTTGCTGCCATACACCCCTCCGACCATCTACATCAACAAACGCATCACCACTGAAGGTTATGGATGAAGATGGGAAAGGTGGGGTAAGTAGGAAAATTCTGATACGATGTGCATTAGAAGTGGAGAGTTATCTGCTTTCAAAGTGCACTCATTCATCATTTGAACTTTGTTTTACTAAACTTTCTGCTCAAGGAAAGCTTGGATCGATAAAACACCATCTACGAAAAAAAATTGCAATAAAATAATTAAGTCTTATTCATTCCTACAATCAACATGTGATTAGCTATCAAACCAAAACAATCCTAAACCAAAGCTCCATCTCTGCCCCCTAAACCAAAGCTCCATCTCTGCCCCCTAAACCAAAGCTCCATCTCTGCCCCCTAAACCAAAGCTCCATCTCTGCCCCCTAAACCAAAGCTCCATCTCTGCCCCCTAAACCAAAGCTCCATCTCTGCCCCCTAAACCAAAGCTCCATCTCTGCCCCCTAAACCAAAGCTCCATCTCTGCCCCTAAACCAAAGCTCCATCTCTGCCCCCTAAACCAAAGCTCCATCTCTGCCCCCTAAACCAAAGCTCCATCTCTGCCCCCTAAACCGAAGCTCCATCTCTGCCCCCTAAACCAAAAGCTCCATCTCCGCCCCCTACCTGTGACAACACAAGCAACTTGTCGGTTTTTCAAATCATTCATCACAAGCAATAATACTGGCTCCCACCCCACCTCCCAATACCCCACCCAACTACCATAAACACGAGGCAATTGGTAGGCGCCATGATGGAGGCGGCGGCTGTTGCCTGCCTTTGTTATGCTTCGTTGGTCATCCCCGCCGCCTCCAGTGGGTACTTTGCCAATAAAGCCCATCAATTCAAAGCAACAGCAATGAAGCAAGTCCCCGGCAACGAACCTTCTATCTACCCACTAGGAAATACCGGACCACTCACCCATGAGCACATTAAAACAAAAAAAGCTCCAGACAACACAAGGCCTGCCTATTTACATTCCACAGGTAGATAAGATCTGAACAGGTGAGGGGGAGGAGGAAGGCCGAGTGCCACAAGGCTAGTCTACAAGTTAACCTTTAACATAACATTCCTCAAAAAAAAAAAAAAAAAAGGAAAAGCGGGAGCAGCAGCTTGTGACCCGATACCCCAATTAGAACGGTGGGGGGAGAAAAAAACAATCCCTGTGAATCTTTAAGAGGCAGGAATACTTGCTTCCCCGAATGCCCCTTCAACACCTGCATGCAAAGCAGACCCGGCATTTCACAGCCTCTGGTTAAAAAAAAATAATTAGGCAAGTGGTTGAGCCTCTCCGTGGGCGCCCGATGCCCACGCCATCATTGTCCAGGACCAGGTTTGGAAAGCAACGGTTTTAAACTAGGCCAAAATGGTCGGTCCCCAAACCGCTAAAAACACCACCACTCATAGCTACAAGATTCTTCCGTGGTTGGTTTGGTGGATTTAAATCCTGTCAACACACGAGGGTCACTGAGGCTGCATGTGATCTGTTCACTATCAATATGGGCGTATAAGAATTAAAGTAAACCAAGTTCATATATAGTTATATATACAAATGGATTTGTCAGTTAAAAATAGGAGAGGAGAGTTATTAAATGGAGAGTTAGAGGTATTGGGAAGATGGAAGGAATATTTTGAGGAATTGTTAAATGTTGATGAAGATAGGGAAGCTGTGATTTCGTGTATAGGGCAAGGAGGAATAACATCTTGTAGGAGTGAGGAAGAGCCAGTTGTGAGTGTGGGGGAAGTTCGTGAGGCAGTAGGTAAAATGAAAGGGGGTAAGGCAGCCGGGATTGATGGGATAAAGATAGAAATGTTAAAAGCAGGTGGGGATATAGTTTTGGAGTGGTTGGTGCAATTGTTTAATAAATGTATGGAAGAGGGTAAGGTACCTAGGGATTGGCAGAGAGCATGCATAGTTCCTTTGTATAAAGGCAAAGGGGATAAAAGAGAGTGCAAAAATTATAGGGGGATAAGTCTGTTGAGTGTACCTGGTAAAGTGTATGGTAGAGTTATAATTGAAAGAATTAAGAGTAAGACGGAGAATAGGATAGCAGATGAACAAGGAGGCTTTAGGAAAGGTAGGGGGTGTGTGGACCAGGTGTTTACAGTGAAACATATAAGTGAACAGTATTTAGATAAGGCTAAAGAGGTCTTTGTGGCATTTATGGATTTGGAAAAGGCGTTATGACAGGGTGGATAGGGGGGCAATGTGGCAGATGTTGCAAGTGTATGGTGTAGGAGGTAGGTTACTGAAAGCAGTGAAGAGTTTTTACGAGGATAGTGAGGCTCAAGTTAGAGTATGTAGGAAAGAGGGAAATTTTTTCCCAGTAAAAGTAGGCCTTAGACAAGGATGTGTGATGTCACCGTGGTTGTTTAATATATTTATAGATGGGGTTGTAAGAGAAGTAAATGCGAGGGTCTTGGCAAGAGGCGTGGAGTTAAAAGATAAAGAATCACACACAAAGTGGGAGTTGTCACAGCTGCTCTTTGCTGATGACACTGTGCTCTTGGGAGATTCTGAAGAGAAGTTGCAGAGATTGGTGGATGAATTTGGTAGGGTGTGCAAAAGAAGAAAATTAAAGGTGAATACAGGAAAGAGTAAGGTTATGAGGATAACAAAAAGATTAGGTGATGAAAGATTGAATATCAGATTGGAGGGAGAGAGTATGGAGGAGGTGAACGTATTCAGATATTTGGGAGTGGACGTGTCAGCGGATGGGTCTATGAAAGATGAGGTGAATCATAGAATTGATGAGGGAAAAAGAGTGAGTGGTGCACTTAGGAGTCTGTGGAGACAAAGAACTTTGTCCTTGGAGGCAAAGAGGGGAATGTATGAGAGTATAGTTTTACCAACGCTCTTATATGGGTGTGAAGCGTGGGTGATGAATGTTGCAGCGAGGAGAAGGCTGGAGGCAGTGGAGATGTCATGTCTGAGGGCAATGTGTGGTGTGAATATAATGCAGAGAATTCGTAGTTTGGAAGTTAGGAGGAGGTGCGGGATTACCAAAACTGTTGTCCAGAGGGCTGAGGAAGGGTTGTTGAGGTGGTTCGGACATGTAGAGAGAATGGAGCGAAACAGAATGACTTCAAGAGTGTATCAGTCTGTAGTGGAAGGAAGGCGGGGTAGGGGTCGGCCTAGGAAGGGTTGGAGGGAGGGGGTAAAGGAGGTTTTGTGTGCGAGGGGCTTGGACTTCCAGCAGGCATGCTTGAGCGTGTTTGATAGGAGTGAATGGAGACAAATGGTTTTTAATACTTGACGTGCTGTTGGAGTGTGAGCAAAGTAACATTTATGAAGGGATTCAGGGAAACCGGCAGGCCGGACTTGAGTCCTGGAGATGGGAAGTACAGTGCCTGCACTCTGAAGGAGGGGTGTTAATGTTGCAGTTTAAAAACTGTAGTGTAAAGCACCCTTCTGGCAAGACAGTGATGGAGTGAATGATGGTGAAAGTTTTTCTTTTTCGGGCCACCCTGCCTTGGTGGGAATCGGCCGGTGTGATAATAAAAAAAAAAAAAAAAAAAATAAATACCCTTCCGCGTGTACATTCACTGTGTAAATAAAACATATACAAACTTTCTACGTTCTCCCCCCTACAACTCCCGTTAATACTTGTTAAAAGCGTCTTCCAGTATTAAAATTATTTACTAGTATATAATGAATAAATATTCCAGAACAGAAATTCACTGGAGCGGTACGATCTTTGCTTCCTCTTCCCTCCCGTCCTCCTTTTCCCGACCTTCCATTACTGCCCCTTTTTCTCCCTATTCCTCCCTCCTCTGCCCCCGTTATCCCGCCCCACCCCGTCTCTTTACTAAATCGCTTCCTGCCTTTACTTTTCCCTCCCTCCCTTTATATTCTCGACTTTGGCAAACAACTTATGAGTGCATCATAACATAACATGTGAAAGGAGGAGCAATGCGGCAAACCTATTGGCCAACACTAGGCAAGTCCAACTCATACCTACCCACTCGTGTACCAATCCAACCCATTTTTAAATCTACCCCAAAGTTCTCGCTTCAATGCGGGTATAAACTTTCTTTTCCGGCGTGTGACGCAGTTCACACCTGGGCGCTTCTTGGTCGCCGGGCCGTAGCCGTCACACCTGCTTAATAAGAGAGGAATGCCAGTGCAGGAGAGAACGGCCCGACGCACACGCAAGCGGACCTGGCAACCTCTCGTGTGGAACGGAGACTGAAGCCTTGCTTCAGGATACCTAGACAGGTGCTGTCTTTTCTATCAGCAGACGCTGCTATATATACCTGCGATCTGTTTCGAGAGTTTTCCTACTGTCATAGCCAAGCCTGGGGCCAAACCTCTCTGCTGATGTCTAATAAACTAAGCTGCTGCTGTTGGCCGGCCCACTGGACCATCACACCCTGGTTGATCAAACACCCCGGAGGTAGTGAAAAGTTTCCACTTTCCACGGTTATTTCCGATATCGGCCGGTAGAAAGTTGAACAGTAGAGGCCTACGGATGTTGACAATTATTGTGCCCTTAGCCTTAAGGCAGACGAAATTGCTAAGCTGGAAAACC